ACTGCTTCTTTCTCAAATAGGTTGGGTGGGGGTTGCTGGGGAGATGGCTCAGTAGAATAAGCGCTTCTCTGGCGAGTTACAAGGGTCTGAGTTCAATCCCTGGTTCCGGAAAAAAAAAAAAAAAAAATTCACTCATTTCTCAAAACAATTGCCATTACCTCAAATAGGTTGGTACTGAGTATTATGCAAATTATCTCAAAAATTATTAACATTCCTGGCTCTGAAGTTGTGTCATCCTTTGTCTCCAGGCTTTCCTATAATTTCTTAGGAGAACGATGACATTTGCTTCAGAGCCAAGCCCTGAGCTGTAATCTTTACATCATCTTTGGTCAGCAAATTGAGTTAGGGTGAGACATTTTTTTTCTTTTACATAATGAGAAATTATAACGTTTCTTTTACCTTTAGCGATTTATGTGGATTTTGACAGAAAAGAGAACAATTCTGTCACAACTGATTGACTTTAGTATTTGTTCTCTTGAATATAAGGGAATAGGATTTAAACAATGCTAAACTTAATTATGATAAAAATGGGTAAAAAAAAGGAACTGGGGAGATGGCTCAGTGGCATAAGCGCCTGCCTGGTAAGCTCAAGGTCTTGACTTGATCCCTGGTACCTGGTCAGCTTATATTTAACAATTGTCATTTATAGATAGAAACATTATAAACCCTTGCCTTTTTGCCTCTCGCCAAAGGTAAACATTTGTATAAATTTCATCTGGTTTGGTCAGAATGTGCCTATTACCAAGTAGCAGCAGGTCCTTGAATTTGACAGAAAGCAGTGAAAAGTGGGCCGTTTCAATAATTACAGACATTGTTCAGACTCTTCTCCATTAATTCTTCTATTTTCTCTTGAAAGACATTGGGCAGATGCTAGCCAAATCATCAAAGTAGCAGGCTTAGCATATGGCAAATGACCTGTTGTACAGAAATGAAGAAATGGATGCAAAAGTTTAAATCGGACCAGGCAAGTTGTGACACCTGCCAGCCCAGCCACTTGGGAGGGAGGTGGAGGCAGGAAGAGCCCAAGTTTGAAACCAGCTTGGGCAATTTAGGGAAAATTTTCTCAAAGTAAAAGAAGAGTTTGTGACATGGCTCAGTGCTGGAGCACTCGCCTGGTGTGGGCAGTACAATTTCCATAACCAAAAAAAGAGAAAGAGAAAAAAGTTAAAATCGTACTAGAGGGCTGGGGAGATGGCTCAGCAGAATACGCACTTTCCTGGCAAGTGCAAGGGCCTGAGTTCAATCCCTGGTTCTTAAAAAAAAAAAAAAAAAAAAAAATTCATATCACACCTGGCACCACATACTGCAATGGCTCCGCCCTTGGGTGTGCTGAGCCTGCAACTGAGACCAGGCTTGGTGGCGCACGCCTGTAATCCCAGTGCTGGGGAGTCCCAGCTGCATAGTGAGACCCTGTACCAAATACATTAAAAAAAAAAAAAAAAAAACCAACCAACCAACAAACAAAATTGTTTTAGACTGCAAAGGATCGTTTCCCTAACACCATGAGGTAACTTCTTTTTAGTTTGTTGCTAGGTTAGAATAGTTATGCAGCTGTCATTTCCTGAAATTATCTTTCTTTTATGAGGAAGGCTGTATAACTTATCCTAAAAACAATTTGTGCGTGTGTGTGTGTGTGTGTGTGTGTGTGTGTGTGTTTGTGTTTTAGGGAAGGGTGTACAGGGTGTTCAGGATCTCACTACTAGATTGGACTCATATTGATTCTCCTGTTTACAGCTTCCCATGTGCTGGGATTACAGGCGTGCACCACCACACCCAGTTTCAATTGCCATCTCAGCGTGCCCCGGGGGTGGGGTCGGCATGGCAGTCCCAGGGACTGAACCCCCGGTACCTGCTTACTTTTTTGGTGGAACTGGGGATTGAACTCAGACCCTTGTGCTTGCCAGGGAAGCGCTTATTCCACTGAGCCATCTCCCTGGCCCCTCTGCTGAGCTATTTGGCTGGCCTTTTTTTTTTTTTTGTACTAAAAATTTTTGTAAACTATATACTGCTAGAAAAACAAACTTTAAAAAAGAAAATTTAGGGGCCAGGGAGATGATTCAGTAGAGTAAGAGCTTGCCTGGTAAGCGCGAAGGGCCTGAGTTCAATCCCTGGTTCTGGGGGCGGGAGGGGGGATTATTTATTTCGTTCTTTCAGTACCAGGGATTCAATTCAGGATCCTGTGCTTGCCAGGCAAGCACTTATTCTGAGCTTCCTCCCCAGCCCCCAAAAAACAAAATTTAGATTCCTTTATACAACTTAAAACAAGCACAATATAGTTATGGCAGGGGTGTTTTATTGGCCAAATAAATAAATTTATCTACATTTGCCATTAAGGCAAAAACTGATTCTGCTTTTATTTTGCTTTTTCTTGAGAATATTTATTTTCAGGACTTTTTTTTTGGGGGGGGGCTGGCTCAGGATGCCTTAAGGGCGAGTCTGATAAGGCATGAGGATCTGGGGGATCAAACCACAGAATCCTAAGCCTGACTGCTTTGCTTAAGCACGAACTTAAATACTGAGTTAATGGGCAGGCCCCCGAGAATATTTATTTTCAAATCATCAGAGCCCTTCAATTTATCAGTCTCATAACCAGAAAAAGGAAATGGAGGTTGATGGGAGAGATTAAAGACAGGAATAGGAAAAATAAAGGTGAGAAGTCACAGACAGAAAGATGGAAGTTGAATTCAAAGAAATTTTTAATTGAGCACCTATTATGAACCCCAGAAATGGCTGACAATAGCATTAAATGTTTCTCAAATGCAGGAAAATGAAAATCTGTACCAGCATTTAATACTCCTAAAACATTCTGAATGACTTATTCCGTTCACATTCTCTCACATTACTCCGAATGCTCACTGGGTACGCACTGTTACCTTAGCAGGCACTGCAGGTAACAGACAGCAGAGTACAGCTTCACAGGACCTTTTATCGTGTGTTCCTAGGCTGAAAACACTCCTTTTTTCTAGCCGGAACACGCAGCTTGGTGATTATGTACAGAGAGGTAGACTAATTTAGTGGTCTAGGTTCAAATTCCAGGTCTCATATAGTTTCTGTGTGAATTTAGGAAAAACACTCAAACCCTCTAAACCTCAGTCAGCCACCAGGTATTATACTTACCTCCAAGGCTGTGAGGATTAAACAGAATGATGTATGTAAAGGCACGCGACTGCAGAGCGCTAAGGAGTGGATGCTGGGACTGCTAAGTGAGAGCCCGAGTACGGTGGATCTCGGGTTTCCAAACCTTGGATGTAGCTTCACATTCTTAACACAATGCGTTCTTGGAACTCATCCTCTCTCATCCTCAACTTACTGCACTTCGAGTATCACGGATACAGGGCGGATTTTGCAAGGACTTGTTCCCTTTTGGGTACCCTGAAATCCAGCAAGTTCTTGATGCCAGGGACCGGCAGAGCAATGGCATTTTATCCCTGGGTCTGGGAAG